CTGATCATCAACAGAGAATTGAAGAACTTGAGGCCGCGATGGCCGCAATGAAAACTCACATGACAACTAAAAATCGAGTGAGGGAGATCGAGACAACCCAGCGGGAGTTGTCCGATACTCTCCACAATGTGAGCGAGGAGGTTAGAGATGCCTTGAATATTCTCCAAAAGGAGTTTGAAGAGCTCAGAGCACAGGTGAGCATCTTACAACTGGCTGTGGCCAAGTCGGGTTCGAGCTCGATGGATAAGGGGAGAAGGCCTACGGTGCCGGAGCCTCGATGTTATGAGGGGGCAAGGGATGCCAAGGAACTTGAAAATTTCTTGTTTGACATGGAGCAGTACTTTCGGACGGTGCACACGGATTCAGAGGAAGACAAGGTGACAATGGCATCGATGTACCTCGCAGGGGATGCCAAGCTTTGGTGGCGTTCCAAGTTTGTCAATGACGAGTGCCCGATTAAAACTTGGACGGACCTGAAGCAAGAATTGAAAAACCAATTTTTCCTTGAGAATGTAGAGTATATAGCTCAAAAGAGACTCCGAGAATTGGTGCAAACAGGGACAGTGCGAGAGTTTGTGAGGACCTTCTCTACCCTGATGTTGGATATTCGAGACATGTCCGAGAAGGACAAGATGTTCTATTTTCTTAAGGGCCTCAAGCCTTGGGCCAGAGCAGAACTACAAAGACAAAGTGCAAGACATGACCACGATCATGACTGCAGCTAAACATCTCCAAGACTATAACGATGGCTCCTTAAAACGAAAAAATCCTTCATCAACTAGCAGTAGCTTCAACTTTGAGAGTGGAAAAAAGATGATCAGATTGAACCGTCCCTTCAGTAGGGGATCAGATAGAAGGTCTTTCGATCGAGATAGCACCCACCCAAAACAAACAATGCAGTGACTTTCAGGCTTAGGCAACCGCTAGCTTGCTTTCTTTGCACGAGGCCGCATCGGGTGGCCGAATGCCCGCATAGAGGAGCCCTTAACGCTTTAAGGACCTCATCTCAAGAATCTGTAAAAGTGTCAGAGAACGTTGAAAAGATCGAAGAGGAACCAACCAGGATGAGCTCAATAAGGTTCCTCAATGCCTTTCACACCCAACTGAACACTATAAGGAAAGAGCAAAGTAGAGGCTTGATGTATGTGAATCTAATGATCAATGAGAAAGCCACCAAGGCCATGGTGGATACAGGTGTAACCGATACTTTCATCACACCAGAAGAAGCGAAAAGGTGTGACCTCCAGGTTAACAAAAACTGTGGACGAATGAAAGCGATCAATTCGTCAACCTTTGCGATCAGTGGAAGCTCCAAAGGTGTGACAACTAAATTGGGGCCATGAGAAGGGAAGGTAGACTTCACAGTCTCCCCTATGGATGACTTTGATGTCGTTCTCTAATTGGACTTCATGATGTTGGCTCAGGTGATCCCTATCCCCGTTGCTAACTGCTTGTTGTTTTTAAGGGAACACCCATGTGTGATGCCAGCCAATATCTTGCCAAAAAGTGGAAAGAAAATGATTTTAACTTTGCAATTCAAGAAAGAGGTAAAAGAGGGTAACCCTCTTTTGTGGCCATGCCGATCTACAAAGAAGGGTCGAAAGTAGAACCAATACCCGATGGCGTGAAGAGAGTGTTGAAAGAATTCGAATAGGTGATGCCAGAGATGTTGCCCAAGGTTCTACCCTCTCGACGAGCAGTGGACCACGAAATTGAACTCCTCCCAGGAGCAAAACCCCCTGCTAGAGCTCCCTATCGCATGGCCCCGCCAAAGTTGACCAAGCTGAGAAAACAGTTAGATGAACTTCTACAAGCCGAGTTCATTCGACTATCAAAGGCTCCTTTCAGAACGCCAGTGCTATTTCAGAAGAAGCATGATGAGAGTTTATGCTTATGTGTTAACTACAGGGCCCTGAACAAAGTCATCGTAAGAAACAAATATCCTATCCCGCTTATAGCAGACTTGTTTGATCAATTGAACCGGGCCAAGTACTTCTCCAAACTGGACCTGAGATCTGGATATCATCAGGTCAAAATTGTTAAGGGAGATGAGCCAAAGACCACTTGTGTAACACGGTATGACGCATTTGAATTTCTTGTTATACCCTTTGGACTGACCAATACTCCTGCCACATTTTGTACATTGATGAATCAGGTGTTCCATGACTACCTTGACAAATTTGTAGTCATTTATTTAGACGATATAGTGGTGTACAGCTCCACCTTGAAAGAACATCAAAAACACTTACGTCGGGTATTTAAAAGGCTGCAGGACCACCGATTATATGTAAAAAGGGAAAAATACGCGTTTGCTCAGACCCAAATCCATTTTTTCGATCACATTGTCGAACGTGGCTACATTCGAATGGACATGAAAAAGGTTAGGGCCATCAAAGAGTGGACAACACCAAAGAATGTTAGTGAGCTCCGCTCATTTTTGAGACTAGCCAACTATTATAAAAGATTTGTGAAAGGGTACTCTCGCAAGACCACGACCCTCACGGAGTTATTGAAGAAGGAGCATAAATGGTGTTGGACCAACAAGTGCCAAGAGGCATTGAGAGATTGAAAGATGCTATTATGAAGGATCCCATCTTAGCTCTCTCCGATATTGAAAAGCCTTTTGAAATTCAAACGGATGCATCTGATTTTGCTATTGAAGGTGTGCTTTTACAACATCACCCGATAGCATTTGAAAGTAGAAAGCTAAGCGAAACGAAGAGGAAATATACGACCCAGAAAAAAGAGCTCCTGACGGTGATTCATTGCTTGAGAGCTTGGCGACATTACTTGTTGGGTTCACACTTTGTCGTGAAGACGGACAATGCAACCGTTAGCCATTTTCTCACCCAACCAAGGCTTACGACGAAACAAGCTAGGTGGTAGAAATTTTTAACGAAGTTCGACTTTTATTTTGAGCAGACAGCTGAAAAGACCAATCAAGTGACGGATACATTGAGCAGGCGACCAGAGTTGGCGACCCTCAGAAGAATGGCCCCAATGGCAACTAGCAAAGCCACTACGGACATTCATAAGTTGATTGAAGATCATCTAGGGAAGGACCCGTAAGCCTGTGCCATCTTGAAGCTAGTGGAAGAAGGGAAGTCTAAATACTTCTGGCAAAAAAATGGGATCTTGTGGACTAAAAGGCCTCAAGTGTTTATGCGGAGAGCAAGAGGGCTAAGACAAATGCTGATGAGGGAATGCCATGACACCCATGGGCGGGACACCCAGGCTGGCAACGCACTTTAGCGTTATTGAAACAGGGATAATATTGGCCTCACATGCGACAAGATGTGATGGACTACACGAAGACTTGCCTCATTTGCCAACAAGACAGTCAAAAAGAAGAAACCTGCGGGCATGTTGGAACCATTACCGATACCCACCAAACCGTGGGAAAACATCTCCCTCGATTTCATTTCGAGCCTACCCAAGGTTGGTGATCTTGAAACGATCTTGGTGGTAATTAACCGGTTCTCCAAGTATACCACATTCATCCTCGCTCACAAGTATTATACAGCAGAAGACACAGCTCGACTATTGTTCAAACATGTGGTCAAATATTGGGGCCTCCATCAAAACATCGTCAGCGATAGAGATCCGAGATTCACGAGGTCCTTTTAGAAGAAACTTTTCAAGATTTTGGGATCCCAACTCAACATCTCTTCGAGCTACCATCCTCAGACCGATAGCCAAACGAAACGTTTCAATGGATTGTTGGAAGAATATTTGAGGCACTTTGTCCAAGCCAACCAAAAGGACTGACCTTCATTGTTGGACGTTGCTCAACTCTGCTTTAATTCCAACAAAAGCTCTTTCACTAACAAGAGTCATTTGAGGTGGTCACCGGACAACTACCAAGGCTACCCCACACTTCCTTGAACAATATAAAGGAAAGAATCCGAGAGCTTTCAACCTCAGCAAGGAGTGAAAACAAAACACAGAGATTGCACAAGCTTACCTGGAAAAAGCATCAAAGCGGATGAAGAAATGGGCAGACAAGAATCGCAGTGCTCAACAATTCCAAGTTGGTGATTTGGTTCTGGTCCGACTAGTTCCTGAACAAACCAGGTTCTTAAGAAAGAGAGATCGTAAACTGATGCACAAATATGAAGGTCCAGTAAGGGTCATTTCCAAGGTGGGGAACGCTTCTTACAAAATCGACCCACCGAAGTGGATGATGGTGTACCCAGTATTTCATGTAAGCAACCTGAAGCCTTTCCATGCAGATCCTACAGATATTAACCGAAGGGAGCCAACCAGAGCCGCCATCACCATAAAGCCACCCTCAGATCGTCGAGTCGAAGAGCTCTTAGCCGACAGGGAAACCAAGATATCTTGAAGACTAGTTCGGGAATACTTAGTGAAGTGGGAGGGCTTAGGACTAGAAGAAACCAACTGTGAGAGAGAACACGACCTCCAGAGATTTCAAAGGAAGATTGAAGAATTTCAAGCCAGCAAGTCGACGAGGACGTCGATAGAATAGGTGGGGGAGGATGTCATGAGCCACCCTTGTATAGGGCCATGATCGGGACTTAGGTTGCCATGAGCAACCCATGTATAGGGCCATGGCCGGGTAGATCCCTTGTGCTAGGAAAAGTGTCCCCATTTCAAACATTGTAACGATTACTAGTAGCGTAACTCTAAAAGTTCTAAGGCTCTTTAGGGGGGTGAGCCGACAGCGTAGTGTTGTGCTGTCTCATCGGGTGCTATGCGAGCTTAGGCCACCCACCAAGGGCTGCCCCCTGGCCCTGGTGATGGTGGGAGGTCCCGATGTATGATTTCCGTTTATAATAAAATTCACCCCGATTGAATGCCCGATTGTTGCCTCGATGCGTTTCTTTCTTTCTCGATGTGAATGTGCCTTGTTGTGTGTGTATGCTTGAGATTGACCTCGATATATTGTACCTTATTGTGAATGCTTGAAACTAACCGTGGTTTATGGTTATTTGTTCAGATTTCGATCTATTGAAGGCTGACTTGGGTGGAAGCGTCCATTCAAGTGCCACACGGGCTAGTGCTTGTTGAGAGAAAGCTTAGTCCGTGACACACAGCATCTGCAAAGCTTGACAAAATCTTGATGCAACTTAAGATCTTATTCCTACCCATTCAGGTTCCACACCGGGTATGCAGCTCCAGAAAACATTTGAAGCAGCAAATGAGGTTTTGGGAATTACTTGTATGGAATAGACACTTCAGCTGATTGGTTATAAGAGTTCAGTGTCAAAGAAAATGAGAAATAGCTTTTCACTCCAGAAATGAAAATTTCAAATTATTTCAGCTTAAGATTTGGAAGAGACTTTGCAATTGGTCGTGCAGGGGCAGTTCTCATAACTTTCTTTGCATCATACTTGATAGATGACAAGGCACAAATTAGTGCAATCAACATTGTTGGATACACGTACACAGCTTTTGTAGGATCAGAATTTGCAGTCTTTCCCCAAATCCCCTCCTTGACAACACCCCAGATTACCAGTAGTGTCCCAAACACACTCATCTCTTAGAAGGCCTGCAAGCGCTCCTGCGACACAGGAGTAGCTTCCTGCTAGAACCTGTACAAGAATCAGATAAAGGGGATGAGTTAACAAGACAATCATAATTTTTACAGGATTGGGCTTATGAAAGGAAACAAATTTGGATGACTATTTGAAGCTAAACTGTGCAGAAATTGAGAGTATGGTGAAGAGTATACTGGAAGTGGCTTGCAGCCCCTTGTTGGATGTCTATTTTGTTTTTCCTCACTAACAAATTGGTGGCAATATATTAGGGGAAGAAAACAGTTAAAATGAAATGACTTACTAAAATGGGTTCCAGGAACTAATTCAACATATGAATTTGTGCATTGTCATGCATGCAGAAGGCAATTCTACTAGGAAGAAATATCAGAAGAGTTAGATACTTGCTGAATAAGGTAGTTTTTCATTAATCCAGTCTGTGACAATGACACGAAATTGCATTCTGTGGACTTTTTTTTTTTTGCCACCAAAGACAGACGGACTATGGTTTTGGTTCGCAAATAATTTTATGTAGGAACCACTACGACCACATATATGCTTCCCTACAGACCCCACCAATAACAGAACAGTAGATTTCTTCAAACAAATATTGAAAATGAATTAAAAACTAAAAATTAGAAAGATAAAAGTCAAGGATAAGAACCTCTAAGTGCAGGAGATCATGTACTGCAGAGGCTTCCTTTATACTAGTAAGTTATAGATGTTTAACAGGTTGTCCAAGATTGGAACAGTCATGTTCTCGACAAGGTTGTTTGCCATGGCTCCAGGAAAGAGGAGTTCCTTCACCACAGGTACAGGAAAGATGTTGCTTGCAATCAACTGGGAAGATGTGACATGAATTAGAGTTGAACACAAACCAGATCTGCATCAAATCCTGCCAAAAAAGAAAAACTGATAAAGAAGCCTCATTCTGGAATCAAATTCCAGTATATTTTTACTCATCTATATATTTCTAAATCAACAAGACCATGGATAAAGAAAAAAAAGAAGGAATGTCTTCATTTATTTCCAGTGATATTTCCAACAATGATGAATGAACAGAAGCGCATATATCCAACAAGGCAACTAAAGTAAAGAAAGCAACTTGTTGAGGGGAATCCATTGAAAGAGAAGTTATCAGTATCGTTTTGCACTCTGCTGTTCAAAACTGCATGATTTACCTTCTATAGCAAACATTTGCACTTTCAAGAATGACTAGACAGGCATCTTTTCGGTTCTGATGATCTACAGTGTGTTTCTTTTCTCTTGGAAAAACTGCAGGTTAATTTGACCGTCATTCTATTTAAAACTTCAGTAGGTCAAAACACTAAAAGAAGCTCATTAATCAACCTCATATCTTCCGAACTGGACAATAATATTTAACTCTCAGGAAGGTGCAGTTATAATCCAGAGCTTGTTACAGTTTTACACAAACTTAAAGCCTGAAAGACATAGAATACTTTCAACAATCGAAGGATAAGCACAGTAAGTGCAACATATGAACTGAACACATGAACTTATATTGACAGTCTTTATGGCAGCCTCCTAAGCAATTCAGTTTAAATAAATAAATAAATCAACAGTCCATTGAATTGCTAATCTGAATGGTTGTCCCAAACTAACACTTATAAGCTCATTTCGAATCAACATCACCAAAAGAACTATCCAAAAATAGGAAGAAGTGTTTTTGCAAGAGTATAATGAATTTAGATGAAATAACACAAGACAACAAGTTGTGTTGCATCAAACAATAGATCAAGTAGCATACACATTGCGCCACTAGACAAGGATCCTAAAAAACAGTAACTTGCAACTTAGTGCATTTCACATCTTGGAAATAAAAAATCAGTTTATAAATCTTTATTCATTTTCCCTTTTTTTTTTTGGTCAACTTTCTTTATGTTCCTTAATCACTATATACATGCAACACCCAGAACTTCTGCCACCAGCCTTGCCTGCTATAGTCAACACATTTGAGCGAAATAAAAACAAGAATCATTTTTTGCATATTGACAGTGAGGACACTAGATAGAGACTCTATTAATTAAACCAGACAAATAGCCCAGGTTGCTATGAGACAAGAGTCAAAAAGGTTTCTAAAAGTTTTCAAATCTTGAATAATATGAAGTAATTGCTAATCATTAATACTACAATACAACCTTAATCATCTAAAATAAAAAATGATAGGCAGAATAGCTTCATAGGCTTAACATATTTGAAATGAATGGTATATGAAATTAAAAAACAAACATCCAGGATTTAAACAATGTGAAGCAATTTCTAATCATCAAAACTAAAATATAACCTTACAATATCATAGAGGTTTTGATGAGATGCTCTTTGGTCCAAGACTGATCCCGAGTATAAAGAAGGCATTTCCTTGACAACCAACCTCTCCTCAGGCCCTACACACCATGCGTGGTCTTGCAACTCCAAAATCCCTTTCATGCCTGCTGTTTCCCATATAAACTTGAATAACCCCAGAGCCCTGTCCAATTGCTTAAACCCACTGCAAACCATTTTCTCCTCATTTAAAGACAGAATTTTTCCCATGCACAATGTAAACCTATTCTCAGAATCATTCCCATAAATTGATCTGCACAAATCCACTTCAATATCTCTAACTTGTCCATAGAGGTAGTACAGTAAAAGTGTGAACAAGCACTGTGATGAGTGTCCAAATGTCTTAGAGAGCTTCTTTTGTACCAGGTTTTCTTGGTCCTTAGCATCCTTATACCCAATACTATTATTGACTAACACATTATTGATTTGAGACAAACCTGCTTTCATTACCTCAATCTTTATCACATGATAAAGCCAACCCTTCTCACTCTTCAAACAATTAATGAGATCAGCAAACATCTTCACAACATCATCCCATTTGTGGGAAGGAGAGTCAATAATCTTTGCAGGTGAAAGCCGCATCCATGAAGCAGAATCAGGTTCATAAGAAACAGCTGATTCAGCCAAGAACTTAAGGTAGCTAGAAACTATCTGCTGGCCCATCTTGGCTCCTTGGGAATTGGTGATTCAACAAATCTATCTCTGATTTTAATTCATTCAATATTTCCTTAAGGGCACTTGTCCATATCCTGTGTTATGTAACCCGTGGACATATTTTTAAATGCACTGAATACCTCTGTTGAGTAGCAACATTCAAAAACTTTACTCACTTTGGTTAACGAATTCACAGTCATGGGCTCTCTTTCACTAGGTTTATAAAAACAGTCAAATTTGGAGACTTGTTTAGCATTAGCTAAACCGACGGAGACCCAATAAAGATCCTTGCAAGTAACTTGAAAGTATTCATTATATTCAATGCAATCACTGATGATGACTGAATTATCTTTCACATTCACAAGCCATCCATCAACTGAATCCACATCTTTTAAGAAGTGGACCAATCTTGATAACTTTAGAAAAGCCCTTTCATACCATTCATAAGGCGACAACTCTTCGTGGGATTCACCTCTGCAGTGATATAATACTGGATTCAAATGCAAAGCACCATTGCGCTCCATTCCACAGTATTTTGAACCTTGGAGAACCTTTTGAACAACCTTGAAAGCCCTCATCAGTTGGCCAATTATTTTAAATGATATATTCCCAAAAGTCAACCTCAAAACCAGTTATCATAAAACAACATTAGTACAAAATCCACTGAAAAGCAACATTAGTTCTGACTTTTCATAGCTTCTTCGCGATGCTCATTCACTGTTTCTTTTATCTAATCCAAATTGAAAAACAAATCTCAACAGAGAACATCCAAATAGGCCAATCATTTTTATGAAATAAATTCTATAACTAGTTGCTAAAATAAAAGAAGCAACTTAAAAGCAAAGAGTGAAACTAAAAACAGAAACCCCTAAAATGGTACATCCAAGAGAGAACAATAGAGCAACAAATCAACCTAAAACGTCGAAATAGCCAAAAGCCCAGATGCTAAAACATGAAAAAAGTAAAATCTAAGAGATACCCAGATTGAGAAACAACTTAGGATATGAGCTTATGAATCTGGGTAGCGTTAGAACTTAGACGAAAAAAAGAAAAACAAAAAGGAGTTTGACCTGAAAAGAGGAATCTGAAGGATGATGAGGAAGAAATAAATCCTAGATGACATTGATGACATGTTACTGAGCCATCCCCTTGACGCTGTTGGTGGTGCTACCGTTTTGCCATTCCCAAGACACTTCAAAAATCCAAACACCCGAGGAAGAAACCAACAGAAAGAACGACGATCTCGGCTGCTAGTGTCTTATATATCTTAGAAGACACGCTGCGTTTCGAATTCACAATAGTTGATGTAACTAACACGGCGTCGTTTCTGACATTTGGTTCATTAATTTTGGTTCCGTGTTTGTACACCGCCTCAACCAATGGATAATAATATAAAATCATAAAACCATAAACCCTCTTTCTACTCTTTTCTCATACAGTTTTTCATTTTTGCTTCAATGGCTTCTGCTTTGTCAGTGAACTCTTCGATCTCTCCACGGCTTTTGCAATCTTCTTCTTGCACCGAACGCCTTTTCATAGCCCATCCGACACCTTTCAATCTTCTGCGGCCACGCCAGTCTTCTTACCTTTCTACGCTGGCTTTCTCTCGCCGCCGAAACAGCACCCCTGCAACCATTTCTGCGAAGAAAAAGAAAGTGAAGAAAGGATTAGTGGAGGAGGATGATTTTGATGGAGACCCTTTTGAAGCACTGTTCAGTCAGCTGGAAGAAGACCTTAAAAATAATAATTCAGATACGGAAGATGATGACGACGATGATGAGATAAAGGAGGAAGACGTTGATAGGCTTGCAACTGAGTTGGCGGAAGCACTTGGGGATTTCGATTTTGAAGCTGATGATGCTGAAGAAGAAGATGAAGAGCCTGTGCAGCTTAAGAATTGGCAGCTTCGAAAATTGGCTGCTGTTCTCAAAGTTGGCCGCCGTAAAAGTAATGTAAGTTAATTGATATAATACATGTTTCATTGCAAATTAGATAAAAAAGATGTTACTTTTATTTGAATTTTGATTGGATTTGGCAAAAATTTTTGTTTTTTGGTTGTTTGAATGCTAAAGTTGCTTGAAGAGTTTGCCAGAAGTAAGTTCGTTTCTTTGTGAAAAGAATCATGATTATTTCATTGATTATGGTTCTTCTTCATGCAATTTTGTTACCAGCATTGAAACTTGTTACTTTGTATTGCAAAATGTTTATTTTGCTTTTGTAGATTAAAACTCTTGCTGCAGAACTATGTCTTGATAGGGCTGTGGTCCTAGAATTGCTCCGTGAGCCTACTCCGGAGCTTCTAATGATGAGTGCTACTTTACCTGATGAACCTGTTAAGAGGGAACCGGTGCTTGAAACCAAACATATAGAAACTAATGCTTTGGAGACAACAGTGGATGCTGTGAAATATGAGCCCGAGGAGTCCAAGGTGAAAGAGCCCGTCCATGTGATGCAACACAGATGGTCTGCCCGAAAGAGACTGAAAAAAGTGCAAGTTGAAACCCTTGAAAAAGTTTATAGAAGATCGAAGCGGCCTACTGTAAGTAAAGTTTGTGCAATTGAAGGAAAATCATATTTGTTATTAACACTTATCTACATTCTTAAATTATTATTATACAAGCCAATATTAGTGAGTGTCTGAACACTTTATCATATTGGCAGCGAAATTTAGTGATTTCATGGAAATATTATTCAAGGATTGAAATTGATAAGCAATATTGTTGAAAATTGATATTTAGGGTACTTTTGAACTAAGAGGAATTTGCATTTGTTGCTTTTGCAAGTTTAGAAAACTAATACATTTAAGTAATTCCCACAGTTTCTTTCTACTATTAAGATCCAAATCAGTGGAGAGAACAACATCTCTTTAGAAGCCATCCATTTACTATGATACTTATTTCTTTCTACATTATGCTGCCTGGTTTGTGGAGCCTCATTTTTCTGAGTTTTTTTAGCCCTGAGTTTGATTCCGACTTGTTTATTGTTTGGGAAGCAGTACTGTATTTTTCATGGCCATTTTCCATTAAGTTTGCATGCTGGGGGCATATTCTTACATGTGCATGCTCTTTTGAACAATGTAGAATGCAATGATTAGCAGCATCGTGCAAGTTACAAATTTGCCCCGAAAAAGAGTTGTAAAATGGTTTGAGGATAAGCGCAATGAGGATGGAATTCCTGAGCATCACCAGCCATATCAGAGGTCTGTTTCTGAAACAGTCTCTTCTGATTGAAACACTCTGTATATTTGGCATCCAGAACAGTACGTATGACATCGTATCAGACATTTGGTGCCTTTTTATGTGCTTCTTAGGCTCATTAAAAGGAACTGAAATGTAACAGTGTCAATGTCAAAGCTCCCAAAATGAGTGTCTTCCTTTATGCAACTTTATTTATGCACTGGAATATGTAACTAGTCTTTATTTACTTAAGAGCCCCATATTGCCTGTTTCAAGCAAGATGTATTTGGTTAGTTAAGACTTCATATGAAGTACCAGTCTGATATTTGAATGAGTTTTTATATTGAACCTTTAATGTGAGGAAGTTTATATATTGGACCTTCAATGTGAGGCAAACCACCATGTTTCTGTTAAATGCTAATATCACTTTAACTGTTGTTTTACGTGAATAGTTAAGATACTTAGTGCTAAAAAATGAAATAATAATGCTGACTGAACAGGAAAATGGTGTTTACTGTTTTCAATAAATCCTTTGACAACCAAGGAATATAGGGGTTAACTTAAAGTGGTGTTTTTAAGGGGTTTGCTTAAATTGTAAAAGGATTGGAATCAAATCATAGAAGTATTTAACTAATATTTTTTTCTCAAGTGTTTTACATTATAAAGGTTCTTGATTTTTTTTTTTATCTCACAATTCCCTCATATTATTACTAATCTTATTCTGTACCATTTTCATATAATTATTCTCTTTGCATCAGTTGGATTAATCTTTAGTTTCATGTTCTGTTCCATAAAAATGGTTCAAATTTTATCCAATGTAGAAAATTTATATTAATCCGTCATTTTCATTTTTAATTTGCAATTAAACTAAAGCATATTTTTATTCAAAGCACTACAACTAGAATTTAGGTATCTATTCCAAATCTTAACCCAATTTATCACTGGAGCTTTTTTCCAAGTGGCATAGCTTGAGCAATATAGTCAGGCTCCACCATCATTTCTGGAATTTTTTTTATTTTTTGGCTTTTCCTATATTCCTATATTCTTAGTTCAAAATTGGAAGCTTTGGAACTGGATGCTCTTTGTGGAGGAGGGATATTGATGAAAATCTCTGAACCTTACATTCAAGTTGCTATTGTCTCATTGCATACAAGAATTACATAAAGCTTATTTGAGAGGAAAAGAGAAGCAGGAACTTCACTTCTAGGCTCAGCTGGTATGAGCAAACAGTGCCCAACTGCATATTGCTTAATTGATGAGAAACATTCAAAGAGCAAAGTCAAAAATTTCAAACTCTAAGCATCTCTTCTCACAACTTTTGATAAATGTGTCTATTTTAAACCTTCTGCTATGATCTACGACCCTGTTTCGGTCGAATGCCTATGTTTCCAAGTCGTACATTCTGGGGAGTTTTGGCCTTACAGGACCCAAAATATTGTCACTTTTGAGATCTTGTGGATTTGCATTTGACCAATTGATTGATCACTAGAATTCAACCCAAACAATCTCAATTCTCACCAGGAGAGATGGTCACAATTCACATACCTTTTGAAAAGAGAAAGAAAACAATAACATGATCTTAAAAAGATACTGATAGCCGTCCAAGTTAGTTGAACGACATCAATTAACAAAAATCCATTCACAAAACGACATTAATTCGTGCCCAAAAAGCCCTCTTTATATTTTCGCAGAACTTTAACAGAACAACCTCCAGCAAAACCCAACATGGTCAAATCAAATAAAACATGGAAGGAACAATAGTATGTTATTCATCTTCTTTGATTCCATCCATTAACCCGTTTCCCTCATTCTTCCCTTCAAATTCTTCTGTCTTTGCTGTCCCTACTCCCTTTATACAAAGGCTGAGCAAACTGAGATTCTGTCACTTAAAGGACCTCTATAGAAAGAAGAAAACATGGCAACTTTGCAAAGGTCTGCAGTTTCATTCAGGAGGCAAGGGTCATCTGGTTCTGTCTGGGATGATTTGTATGTGCTCGGAGAAGATGGCTTGGTGCATTACAGAGATCAGCTACGGCCGTGCCAGAGTACCAGAGAACGTGGCAGCTCCAGCCAACTGCCTAACACTTGTCCTCGTAGCATGTCAACCCCAACAGTGAATCCATCTTCCGTCATTAAAGTTCTTGGAGAATTGTCTCCTCAAGATAATTCCTTCCCTGAAGTCCCAAAAGTCCCAAAATCTAAGTCAAAGAAACACAAGGCATAGATTCAGGATAACATATATTCGACATTATCAAGCTGTTGGGTTCTCTGCTTCTTCAAATTCACGACTTCTTTCCCATTTCTTTTCATAATAAATTAAACCATATTTTATGTATTGATTTCGTACGAAAATTCCTGAACATACCACAATGGTATGACAAAATAACTCTTAAATTACTCAAATATAATATCATTCATGTAAGTTTCTTATCTTTTTACGCATAAATGAGAGCACAAATTCGGTCAGCATTAGTTTGTATTAATTGGAGCTTACATCTCTATAAAAAAAAATCAGAATTACGCTGTACTTTCATTTCTTACTTTCTTATTTTTAATCCTGTAAATTTTTCTGTAGGTATCTCTCATTTAAAAAATTAAGAATAAGGTTAAGTGTATATAAATATATATATATATATATATATTACTAAGGAGATCACAATTTATAAATAAAAAAAAGATTATAAATATTAAAATTTAAAATTCAGATTTTCTAGATATAATTTGAGATTACATGAATCAATTTAATTAAAACTTGAGTTCATTTTTTTTTTCTTTCTAACGGTCGGTCTATTAAGATTTAACATAAAACGTAATATTTGATGGCATGAAAGCCCTTTAATTATACTTTCAAATAAACTCTAATTCAAAAAAAAAAAAGTTGTTACATTTAATATTTTCACCTTGTTATTACCCACTAAAAAGAATGTTAATTTGAATACTAGATCAAACCCAAAGATCAAACCTCTAAGAACACTTGACTCATCATCCTAAATATAAACACCATTTGGTATTTTATTATTTTTTTTTTATTTTTTTCTTTCTTTTTCCTTCTTCATCTTTTCTTATCCAATTCAGTTTAATAAAAGTACGAGTGCATTAAATGCATCATCACCGAAAGTTCAAAATCTCAGCAATCGTCACCACCGACAACCGCTTGATACCTTACCTAACTTGACAGAATGGATTTCAACTTAAAAATTTGATATTTGAATCCCAAAAAATTTGGAATTTAATTATCAGAAAGCTTTAAAAATAGAGCTTGATTTTGGCACAAAAAAAAAAAAGGAGGATCGAAAAAATTGACAAAAAATTTTCAAAAAAAAAAAAGCTTTTTGTCAAGAAAAGGATACCTTGTAAAAAAAATTCAAAAAAAAAAATCTAGAAACACAATCTCCTGGAAATAGGGAACCCAGCGCCTATAACCCCTGCAAACAAAAAGAAAAGAAAAGTCAGTAAAAAAAAGTTAACATAAAAAAAAAAAGGGTTTGGCTGAAAGTTTGAAAGTCGATCTAGGTCGTTTGAGACACTTTCAGGTGAAATCAATCTCAGATCTGTGCTCAAGGGGCAAATGAGAATTTTTTAAGAGTTTTTGAGATTTTTCGACGATCGGTGACTGACAGCCAACACGGCAGACGGCTATCGACTGATTATCTTAGAGAGAGAGAGTTTGAGAGAGTGAGGGAGAGGTTTTTTTTTTCTGGGAGAAGAAAGAAGTGATCGAAAAATTTTTTGAGGCTTTTTATATAAACTGACAGAGTTAAAACGATGTCATTTCAATAAAGACCAAAACGAAGTCGTTTTAACCCCGGAAGATTCGCGTGTCAACTCGCGACCTAACCCAAATCGCGTACCCGACCCGACGACCTGTCCATCCTTCAGCCTCTGACCGGTTTAATTGAACCAACCTAGATCGAACCGAATCGTTTCTGAACCGTTGATGCCAAACCAAACTGTCGGATTAAACTGCACGTTGATCAAACTGTTGACCTGTCCGATTCAGGTAAAAAAAATTTTTTAAAATTTTTTTATAGATTTTTTATATATTATTTTTTTTATTTTAATTATTATTCTTAATATTTATGCATGTTAAAATGTTTAAATTTATCAGAATAATTTTTTGTTATTTTATAATAATAATTAATAAAAATAAATAATGAAATATATAATTAAATTTTTTTATAATTTTGAATAAACTTTATAAAATAATTGGTAAAAAAGGTTATAATTAAATAAAAATAATACAAAATTAATAAAAAAAAGAAAAGGAAAATTTTATCTGACGATAAGATTCAAAGGTACTCCGAGTAGTGATGCCTACGAAATCTCTAGGTGAGAAAAAAATTTTTTTAAATACTACCAGTGTGTTGGAGTATTTATAAAAAGTTTTCAATACAACAAAAAAATTTTTTTGTTAATAAAAAATAAAATTAATTAATTTATTAAAAATAATAATATAAATAAGGAAAAAAAATTTTATCTAATGATAGGATTCTAAAAGTATTCCAAGTAGTGATGCTTTACGAAATCTTTAGGTGAGAAGATTTTTTTAAAAATATTATCAGTGTATTAAAATATTTATAGAAAAACCTCAATATAATAAAAATTTCTTTTTTCTCCAAAAATTTAAATTAAAAATAAAAAATCAAATAAAATAATTAATAAATTTTCTAAAAAAAAAAAAAAATATGTGTATCAACATGGTAACATTTTGCATTGTACGCACGACATAGTTGTTTTTTATGAAAGTAAATTTGAACCTTTGAAGATGAGATTCTGCGGTATTTCAAGAAGTGATGCCTAAGAAATCTCTAGGTGAGAAAAAGTTCTTTTAATGTTACCAGCGTACTAGAACATTTTAAGAATTATTTCAACAAAAATGTTCTAATTTATTTTTCTCGAATAAAAAAATAAAACAATAAATAATAATATAAAAAAAAATAATAAATGAAAAATCAAGAAAATTATTTTTCAAATATTGAAAATAAGACGGTTTTTATCAAAATTAACGGATAACACATAATTAAGTGGTACCGTTTTTAAACGGGTGCTGTAGAGGTGCTAATCCTTCCTCACACGTAACTGATTCCCGAACCCAAATTGTTCCACAAACCATAAAATTACCCTTTTAATAAATTTTAATTAATTTTAAAATCTTATTATAAGGATAAATTTTAATAGGTGAACAATCGGACCTAACAAAAAAAGATTAATGACGACTCTGTTTTTATTATTTTTATTTCGTATTCAAATTCGTCGGACGGATACAAAATCAGTACGACACTAAACATGCATCTTGAATAGTTATCTCAGGACTCATCATCAAGAGCCAAAAGTAATCCGAAAGTTTTAATTTAATTTATTTAAAATAATTAAAACAAAGGATTTGAGAAAAAGGATTAAACTTTGAAATCTCAATGTTCCAATTTGAAAAGGATA